ACAAACTGAACTGCCACATACAGTTTAGGGAACAGAAACCCAGATGGGGACTTACCAGTGAGCAGAATTCTTACCAGTGATCAGGCCTTACTTTCCATCATTCTCTCTTGACCTTGCACTTTTATGTCAATGAAAGAGAAACGAGTAAATTTCTCCACGGTTATTAAATTTAATGAAAAAATCATTGTAGACTGTTTGATATATTACAGGGCTTTCTAAGAAGCCCTGGCAGTGCAGTGATTAAAGCACTCAGCCTCTACCCAAAGGGTCAGCGGTTCAAACCTACCAGCTGCTCTGCCCGAGAAAGATGAGGCAGTCTGCTTGTGTAAAAATGACAGCCTTGGAAACCCTGGAGGGAGTTCTGTTCTGTCCTGTGGGTTGCTGAGTTGGAGTCAACCACATGGCAAGAGTTTGTTTTTTATTTTTTGGTTTAAGGCCTCTGTAGCTGAGTGCATAAAAATTCAACTAACTTGAATGGAAAACCAATTTCCTCTGTAAACTTTCACCCAAATTACAATTAAAAAAAAAATCTGATAGAAATTCATACACACACATATACATACACACACACACTCCAACTAACTAAACTTTTCCTCTGATCTAATTGGAATAGAAAAGAGACAAATGCCCTCGTGTGCTCCAAACATGCAAAAATCATACAACACTTTTGAAACACATACCAAGGTTTTATTAAAACATTAACTTTCAGGATATGCCTTTAGATCCATAGCCATTAAGTTCCAGTCTCTGAGATCATCAGCATATACAGTGTTTTTCCATCACACAGATGATCTGGACAATGATTCCACGTTACTCTACCATAAATGATGGCTAATATGATAAGAGGAGTCCATTTCAGAAAGGAAGTCAGCTAATTCTCAGAACCAGAAGTGTTTTCATCCACTCCTGGCTTGTATTTATTGTAGGTTGGTGTTGCGAGGGCTGAATTTGAAAAGGGTGTTTTTCCTTTTGTAAACACTGTCTAAAATAAAGGATCTGAGTTTCTGCCTGTAACACTGAATTGGTAGGTATGAACTTAAATGGAAAGAAGATCTTGGTCATCGGGGCCCATGGAGCTTTGGAAGCTGCTGTGCAATGCCTGTTCCAGAGGAAAGGTTCCATGACCATGAGTTGCCAGTGGGCAACGCCTCAGCTTCAGAGCAAGGTAAGCACCTCTCATGTGGGCCATAGAGCACTGGAAACGCTCATGCTTCTTAGGAGAGAAGAAAGGGTGTAAATGTGTAAGCTGAGCACTTAAGAAGGCAGAGAAAGAATAACACAAAACTCCAAGGTTGAAAATAATACAGAGCAGAGATAAATGAAGTAGAAATCAAACATAGGAGAGGTCAGCAACAAAGCCACGGTTCTCAGAAAAGGCTAGTAACAAGGTTGTGGTCATTGCTTGGTCACAGCCAGCTACCCAGAGGGACCGAGTAGTTGAACCTACGGGCTTGGGACCATCGTCACAGGG